GCTGGACATCAGCTGGAAACCTCACATACACCTGCACAGAATAGGTATGGCCGAGTAGTGGCGTACAATAAATTTCTAAAGATCACTGGAGTAGTGGCAGCCTATTTGGAACCAGAAAGTCACAGGTTCGACTCCTTGACATGCCCATTACGTTGTAGTGTCCATGAGCAAGACCGCTTTCCTGGACGCTGCTCCACTTGGATGTAACTCACGTGTGATTGGTTGATGACGAGTCATTGGACGCATCCAGTGATGATGATGATGATGCATAGCACTTTCACTTAAATTGCAAAAGATTGCACTTTTAGGTTTAAGCGGCTGCAAGTCTGTTGTCTCCGAAAATGATCATCTTTATTTAAAATGGTCCAGGACGTGGGTGATCTGCAGCTCATTCTTTCAAGCCTGTAATGGCACTAATGTCGTTAATTTTTATTACACAGACTATTGACTGATTAGAAATATTGCAATATAATGTTTTACTATAGAATACGAGGGAGTGGTGGTAGAGGCTGGAGAAGGTGGGTCTGTGATGGGTGAAGCACCCACACCTGCCTCCACCCTCGTTTGCCTCACTCTGCGCCCTTGAGCAAGGCTCTTAACCCCCACCATCCACACAGAGGGCTGTGGTAGCTCGGTGGTCGTCAGGAAGGACATCCGGCGTAAAAATTTTCGCCAAGTCTTCGTGCGACTTAGTTCACTGTGGCGACCCCTGAAGAAGGAGCAGCTGAAAGAAAAAATAAAATAAAAATGTGTTACTATAGATACTTTTCTATGTACTACATTACTGACGTGCTCCACTAATCGAGTCCCATCTTTTCTTGGGGTTTTGGTTTTGTTTTACAGCACAGGTAGAAAAGTTACAGAGGATTTTCACAGCAGAGTAACTCTTTTCATCCTGAGCTGTAAAAGCTCCGTCGTTTTGTTGAATCTCTCTCACACTCAGAGGACGGTATTAACAGCTTCTCGTTAATTCTTCTCTCATTTGTTACGTTTGTTCTCTGTAAATTCTCAAACCTCAGATCGAGTTAACAACAAATATACATTTTAACGTTTAACGTAATTACCAAAATGTTCTGATATTGTGAGATAGTTTCAAGTTGTATTTAATTTATGGTTTTCAGTTTGGTTCTTTCCAAAATGGTAAAGTTTGTGAACATTTCCAGTCATTATTACTACAGTGAGTCAGATAGTTCCCTGAAACCAATTTTTACAAACAATTTAATTCATTTATTTTAAATCATATTTATCAAATGGTTAAAGTGAAGTGTGCTTTTGTTTATTCTCATTAAAAAACATTTTTATTCTGTCTGTCTGTCCAGAAACCCAGCACGATCATGTGCAGAAGGAGGAGGAGATTCTAACCGAGCAGCAGCTCTGTAACCAGGAGAGGAACAACAGTTTGGCTCAGGATGAAACAGAATCTTTACAGGAAGAACCAGAATTTTCACAGAATGAACTAAAACCTCCACAAATTAATGAAGAAAAAGGAGAACCTTGTGTCAGACAGGATGACGAGCAGCTTTTACCTAAACGGGAGGCTGATACGTTCATGGTGACTCCTGATTATGAGGAAAAGAACAACTGGGAACCGGAACCAAACGTGGATCATGGAGCTCAGAACTCCCCTCAAGCTAAGAACCAAGATCAGGATGGAAGCTGCAGTGAAGACATCAGATGCAACAGAGATGAAGAGCTGAAACAAATTAATAGAAGTCCACAAACCAGAAACCACGGAGACAATTTTGACAGCACGGAAGTAAAGAGACACACAACCAGTCATCCAGGAAGGAAACCTTTCTCGTGTCAGACCTGTGGAAAAATTTACAGTTGCAGAAAAACATTAACAATCCACATGAGATCTCACACAGGTGAAAGGCCTTTTAAATGTCAGATCTGTGGAAAATGTTTCAGTGATAGAAAAACATTAACATCCCACATGAGAACCCACACAGGAGAGAAGCCATATCCATGTGAAATTTGTGGTAAACATTTCTCTCAGAGGGGTAACTTGATCACTCATAAAAGAACTCATGTAGGTGAGAAGTCCTTTTTTTGTGGTACTTGTGGGAAAGGCTTTATAACCAAACTGGTTTTGATTAGACATGAAAGAACTCACACAGGCGAGAAACCTTTCTCATGTCAGACTTGTGGAAAAAGTTTCAGCCAAAAATATAATTTATTCAGACACATGAAAACTCACAGAGGTTATAAGGTGCATTCTTGTGAATGATGTAACTTTCTCAGACTTTTGAGTTTTAAAAAGTCAGTGTTAAGACTGAGGTTGGAAACTGTTGTTCATTATTATTAAACTGTAGTCCTAAAACACCAGTGGGAAGGGGAAGTAAAACAAGAATGAAACTGTTGCTTTCTGTTTATAAATTACAGTTAGATTAATAAATAATCTAACTTTTCTCACTGTTATAAAATGTTGCAATCCATTTATTACTGTGGGTTTGTGGGTAATGCAGTTTTGAGTTTTTTAATAAAGAGGACACATCTGAGGAATGTGTCATCGCTCCATCGGATGTCTATCACGTACAGTGGTCTTCGTTTCCAACTTTGGGCCTTTTGATCCGCAACGCTTATAATAATAATAACAATAATATAAAACTTTACTGTCATTCAAAATTGTACAGTGATCCATGCAAAATTAAACAAAATTTCAATTTATTACTCCACAGCAGCATATGAGTACATAATTTACATGAATTTGATAGATTTTGGTGTTTGTGAATGCCTGTCGCTGTGTGTGTGTGTGTTTGCTAGTGCGGTCACTTCATTTATCAGCAGTCTAATAACTCATGGCATGAAACTTGCAGAATCTGGTAGTTGTGGTCTTCAGGCTGCAGTATCTCCTGCCAGAGGCCAACAGAGTACACAGACTGTTATGTTCTCTCTGCATAACTTAATCATTTAAACACAATGAACCTTCAGTTGAACATGACTTACTTTATTGAACATTTGCCAAAGAACACAGGCAGCTCAATGTGCACATACATCACGCTTCCATCTAGCGCACAAACTAGTACCACTAAACAAATATTGCTATTAGTAAATACATAACACAGACGATATTGTAAGTGTGAGTTGTAAATGGACTACTTGTATAGCACCTTTCTATCTTATCAAAATACTCAAAGCTCTACAACACAATCTGTGCCTCATTTACCCATTCATACAGCTCTATACTAGATCTCTACAAAGCTAACTGAACAAATCATTCTAAAGAGACTAATCAGAGCTTTATCACATTCATACACCGATGGGACACACATCGGAGGCATCGAGGGGTTCAGTGTCTTGCCCAGGGACACAACGACATGTCACTGCTGATGGATTCGAACCCCCAACTCTTGCATTAGAGGATGACTGCTCTAACCAGTCAGCCAGTTGTCTCTTTTGACTTTATTGTCTCTGGTTAGACAGCGTCTGAGACCAACGTCCTGGATGGATGAGAGGTGTGACCTAACGATCTTCCCGAACTGAAGTTGTCCACCTTGATTGGGTTTCAAACATTTGATAATAGCACTTTGGTTGGCCTTGTAGCTGTTTTAAGTGCTCTATAAATAAAATGGTATGGTATGGTATGGTATGGGAGCAGCACAGTGGCGCAACTGGTAGAGCTGCTGCTTCTCAGCGAGCAGGTCCTTGGTTCAAACCAGGGGCCTTTCTGGGTGGAGTTTGCATGTTCTCTCCATGAGTTTTCTCCGGGTGCTCCGGTTTCCTCCCACAGACCAAAAACATGCATGTTAGGCTGATTGGTAACTCTAAATTGTCCCTAGGTGAGAGAGAGAGAGTGAATGGTTGTTTGTCTCGTTCGTCTCTATGTGTCCCTGTGATGGACTTGCAACCCGTTCAGGGTGTACCCCGCCCCTCGCACAGTGATTGCTGGACATGGGCACCAGCGACCCCCGTGACCCAAAAATGGAATAAGCAGGGGAAGAAAAATGATGGATGGATGGTATGGTATGATATCAATTGAAAAATCAAAGCAAATACGTTCTTGTTTTTAGTATTTCACCCTTTTTTACGGCACCCTGATTCATGGTTTTGTATCATACTCTTATTTTAACTGCATTTTTACTGTAGTTTATTGCTGTCATTGTCTACTGTTTTGTTGTCTGTACTTCATATGTTCTGTCTGGAACAGGTTGTATGAGATCCTTTTAAGACTATTAAAAACAGAAGGAAATTCTGGATTTGGAATGCAGAATCAGAGAGTTGATCCAGAAATTAAATTACTGGTATATTGATTAGGGTGGGTGGATTTTCACAAGTAAAAGATGTTAACTGTAGCATTTATATGTGTAGAGAATAAAGATATAAAAGTAGACCCACACCAGCTCTGCACCTCTCACCATGGGAAACTCCAGAGTGGAATAAGGTCCAGCCCCTCTCAAGGAAATTGATTCCGGATTCCACGCCGTGCGTCGAGTTGAGCCCAACTACATCTAGTTGGTACCTTGCAATCTCATGCACAAACTCAGACTCCTTCCCTGCAAGAGAGGTCACATTCTATGTCCTTAGAGCCAGCCCTGGAAAGCCTGGGTCAGAGTGCCATTGCCCCTTGTATTCTGCCACTTCACATGGATTCATGCACCCGACTGCAGGTGATGAGCCCACAGAAAGGCAAACCCATGCTGCTTGACACCTTTTGACACTTTCAGCAGTTACATGAATATGGAAATCCTCCAATATTATGACTATCAGTACTCAATAAGTTTTTTACTTTACTTGTTCTAATTTTTCGTTCATTCAACCTTTATTTATACAGGTTAATCCCATTGAGTCTCAGGGACTCATTTACAAGAGATACCTGAATTTTTAACAAAGAATGATGGCAACAGCGGACAACAACAATAATAGACAATCATAAAAGATGCATACAATTTTTTTAAACAAGTTAAAATAAAATGGCAACCAAAAGGACAATCAAATGTAAAAGTAGCAAAAAAAACAGCTAGATTATAAGGCAGTGTAGAAAAATAAAAACAGGAACATGTCTGCATTGGTTTTTGCCAGAAACTTCCATCCATCCATTATCTTTACCCGCTTCTTCCATTTTGGGTCACAGGGGTCGCCGGTGCCCATGTCCAGCAATCACTGTGCGAGGGGCGGGGGACACCCTGGACGGGTCGTAAGTCCATCACAGGGCCTGCCAGGAACTTAGCAGATGTTTAAAACCACTCAGAGAGGTCAAGGTCGAGAGCTTCATATCTTTTTGCAAGATGTTCCAGGAAACAGGAGCAGAGTAGGAGAAGGCCCTTTTGTCTAGTTCAGTCCTCACTGACATGTAATAATGTAATGTATGTCCTAATTACTTTAAACTAACATAAGGTTTTAAAATTGTGATGTTTTGAAGTAATTAACTGTTTTATTTTCGTTTCTGTTGTGTTTATTATCTCAGAAATGGAGTAAAAGACCCATTTGTTAAAAAATGACTGCTTGGTCTTGGTTTCTCCTGCAGTCTGCAAATTCAGTAACAAGCTAGTTTATATTTAAAGCAAAGTCAGGTTACACTGCAAGGATGTGAAATTAGAAAAAAACTACACAAGGACAGTTGTGTCTTATAGTCGGTGCCAACTCGTATCATTATTTTAAAACAATGCTTTTATTAATTTATTTTAACATTTGTCTCTGACTCAGGGTGGAAGAACTTGCAGTTTCTTCCGGAGCTTTACAGTGTGACACCAGCGGAAGTTGACAAAACGCTAGCATTGTTAGCATAGTTAGCTCTCGTGTTCACTTGTCTGAATGTGTTGAGTGTGTGCAGCAACAATGTCTTCAGTTCAGTCTCTGAGAGAGTTTATCAGCGAGCGACTAACTGCTGCTGCTGAAGAAATATTCACAGAGTTTGAAAAAACCATCGTCCAGTACGAGGAGGTGATCGACCGTCAGCGCAGACTGCTGGACATCAGCTGGAAACCTCACACACACCTGCACACGACAGGTATTTAACATGGTCGAGCTGCTGCCTCAGCGAGAAGGTCGCCGGACTGAATCCCGGTCGGGGGACTTTTCTGGGTGGAGTTTTCACGTTCTCTCCGTTCATGCGTGGGTTTTCTCCGGGTCTTCAAGGTTCAGGGAGACTTTATTGTCATCCACGTCACATGTGGTACATGAGGTGGAACGGAACTGTGCACTCAAGATCCCAGTTACATCCAAAATAGCAATACAAAGAAAGTATATATATAT